AAGCTGTGGGCTCTGTTCTCCAACACAGGTGGCAAAATTTCTCACTCTCTTCTCATCAGGCAGGCACAGAAAGTATATTCTAAGAAGTCCAAGGGTTGCATCTCAAAATTAGACCTGGCCAGCAACTGCTCTCAGCCTCAGGGTGGTTTTCCAGATGGGGCCCTCTTGAGTGAAGCCACCTGGGTCACTCAGCTGGTAAACTCATCTGAATAGATACCTGGGAAAACGCCTTTTTCCTGAGTGTGCCAGATATGTTGCGTTTGTGCACAGTAATGAGACTGAAATGTGGAGAAGTAAATGCCACTGAGTCAGCTTCATGACAGTCTCACTGACAGGCAACTGTATGAAGACAGAGAGAAATTACCTTTGCACTTGGGCAGCTCTGTCCAGGTCCCATTCTGACATGCTACGGTGGAAGTCCCAGTCATCTGAAAACCTTGCCAGCACTGATAGCGAGCACTCTCCCCAGGCAAATACCTTGACTTTTTCACACCTTGAACGTTACCACCCGCAATTTCTGGAGGAGGTTCACATGTCACATCTGAAAAGAGACACTGCTGCAGTCACGTTTGCAGTCGCTGAGGTGTTCCCCTATACAACCAACAGTTAAAGAAATCAATCTTGTTACAATTTCTGTCCAGATTTTCTGCCTCAGGTGGGTAACAGCTCCAAGAGTTCACCATGGAGAAAGCAACGAGGTGTGACAGTGGCAGCAGAACACTCTTTCTGGGACTCTCCAGAGATGGCAGGGTCAATGAGAGCTTCTAGAAAAAGCCAGTGTTTCTGTAGCTACACCTCACAGCACAAGAAGCCACACCAGCCTTCCTGCGTGCCCATGTCCCTCCCCAGGGAGCCCTGGCATTCCTGGAAATCACAGGGCTAGCAGCCAAGCTGGCGCTCTGCTGAATCACAGAGCTCTGCAGGACCGGCAGCGCTGGAGGAGCTTGTCAGCCTGCACTGCTCGGGGATGGGTAAGTGCAGTCAGCTCCATGGAGGTGTGTGAAAGCCAAGTAGCACTTGTTCACCCTGCAGCCACAGGCTTGGGCAGGGGACAGGAGCACAGCTCCTGACAGCTCCTTGTCACAGGAACGCTCTTCCCACGCCCACAGCCCTAGCAGACCTTACATGGTTTAGATCTGAGTCTCTGCTGGGATCTGCATCAGTCAGGGTGGAGCCCTGGAGAAGAACAGCTCTTTCTCTCCCCTACCGCTTCTTCCATTCAGCTACTCCCTGACAGGTTTGAACAGAACAGAGGAGCCCTTACATGTCTTTCTCCTGAAGGTCGCTGAAATGGTGGACTCTGGGGAAATACCAGTACCAGACAGGAGAATGACAGAGCAGCACATTTTAGGCCCTGCTTCTTCAAGACGTTTTTGCTGTTGATGAAAATACCCACAGTATTTCTAGAAGCATCAAGCTAAATTAAAATGCTGTGCAAGGAAGCAATAGCAAGTACAATGAAAACAGAAGTAAAAAAAGTAAAGAGTCTTTAGAGTATTTAGGTGAACAAACAGTCCCCTCTATGCTAACAGGCAAGATGAAAGCACGGATTCCTACCTCTGCAGATTGGTGCTTGTGACCATTCTCCGTTTCTACAAGTGACATAATTTCCACCCATCATTTGAAAATTGCTTTCACATTCATACTGCACTCTGGCACTGGGCAGATACCTCTCCTGGTGAGTGCTTGTAATATAAGCATTGGGAATTTCAGGTGCGGCTCCACAGCTAACATCTGAAAAGAGAGGTTTCAGAACATTAAGAACACTTAAGAACAGTAGTGCAGCAATACGACAATCACAGGATATTGCATTCCGCAGCACCATTGTTCCTGATGAGCAAAAATGGTTTGCGTAATGCAGATCATTTCATACAGGTAGAAAAGGAAGATATCACGGTCTTTATTCTGCAACGCTTCACCAGACACTATTATTTTTGCCTAGAGTGACTAAAAAGAGAAAAGGAGTTGCAGAGATCAGCCAAATGTGCAGGCTGGTGCTGTACAGCATT